ACCTGTACAGATTCCTTGATCAGTGGCCGTTCCATCAATGAAACGTTCAAAGTCTTTCGCATCATTAACACAATAAAAAATATTTTTAATCCTACTTAAAATGAAAATTTAAACAGATATAAATATAAACAATGAAATGTCTTTTTTTTTGTTTGTTATTACTGGAATGAACGCTCGCATCTATTGCAGAAAAAATTAACATAACCCGCTTACGCGGGTTATGTATTTTTTCTGCAACAGCTGCTTCCGTTCATTTCAGTGCATAGGGAAAAGTGGCTCGCATGATTTTCATGCGATTGCCTTTTCGCATGAATTTCGTGCGAAAATCATATATCATGCGATATTCATATACAAGAGAAAAAAAGCAATGAACAAAGAAATTGAACATTTCAATATTTAGGTTTTCTGCCACATTGAGTAATAAAAATTGCCAGTCTCTGATATCATATTGCCTGGATGTTCCTAGGTAATCCATTGACTTTAATGATAGCTGTGTTTACAAGCAATTTTTCAGTTTGTCTTTTTCAGTCTTGTATCCTGACAAGCGTTTCCCACAAAGAAAGTTTGATTATTACACAGTCTGTGTATTTTGTTGTGACACATGTTTAGAGACTTGTAATGACAGTCAGTTAAAATAAAATAACTTTAAATTACTTACTCAAAATTTAGTAAACCTTCAAATAAATGTCACTAAGCATAAACAGACCATTCGATTCACCTGGCTGCGTTACGCAGAACCTGAAATGAAAACGAAATCCGAATTTACTCTGAAAGATTTCGTTGCAAGTTGAATATCATTAAAATGTGCATTATAAAAACAAAATATGACAAACAATTAACAAAGCATACATATTTACCATTGTTTTAAGGAAATAGATCACAATCAGCCAAAAGGAAAGTCTGGAACAAACCATAGAAAGGAGCTCTCGCTGACTCGGTTTTTAGCTCACCTGAGCCAAAGGCTCAAGTGAGCTTTTCTGATCACAATTTGTCCGTTGTCTGTTGTCGTCGTTGTTGTCGTCGTTGTCGTTGTCGTCGTCGTTGTCGTTGTAAACTTTTCACATTTTCATCTTCTTCTCAAGAACCACTGGGCCAATTTCAACCAAACCTGCCAGAAAACATTCTTGGGTAAAGGGGTTTCAAGTTTGTTAAAATGAAGGGCTACGCCCTCATTCAAGGGGTGATAATTAGGAAATAATGAAAATTTGGTGGTATCTTTTAAAAAATCTTCTTCTCAGGAACCGCTGTGCAAGGAAAGATGAGTTTATGGGGAAACATCCTAAGGTAGTGTAGATTTAAGTTTGTTCAAATCATGACCCCCGGGTGTAGAGCGGGGCCACAATGGCCGACCAAATTTTTACATAGAAATATATAGGAAAATTCTTTAAAAATCTTTTTCTCAAGAATTACAAAGCCATATTTGATCATATTTATATGGAAGCATCCTCATGTAGTGTAGATTCAAGTTTGTTCAAATCATGACCCCCGGGGGTAGGGCGGGGCCACATTGGCCGACCAAAGTTTTACATAGAAATATATAGGAAAATTCTTTTAAAATCTTCTTCTCAAGAATAACAAAGCCATAATTGATCATACTTATATTGAAACATCCTCAAGTGGTGTAGATTTTAGTTTATTCAAATCATGACCCCCAGGGGTAGAGCGGGGCACAAAATGGCCGACCAAAGTTTTACATAGAAATATATAGGAACATTCTTTAAATATTTTCTTCTCAAGAATAACGAAACCATAATTGATCATATTTATATGGAAGCATCCTCAGGTAGTGTAGATTCAAGTTTGTTCAAATCATGACCCCCTGGGGTAGGGCGGGGCCACAATGGCCACTCAAAGTTTTACATAGACATATAATAGAAAATTCTTGAAAAATCATCTTATCAAGAATAGCAAAGCCATGATTGGCCATGGGACTACTTTTGGATATAAACTATTCAATAATAAACCAATTTCTACTTTTTCCAAGCCACAGTGCTCAGGTGAGCGATGTGGCCCATGGGCCTCTTGTTTTTTCTGTAACAGGAATCGCAAATGGAACCTGGCTATTCAGTTTCGTATTCATCAAAGAATCGGGAAATACCTTAATTTTATAATTTTCATCGTTCAGATTTTTATCGTGAAAATGTATCTCCGCTTCAAAGACGAAAGCTGATGACTAAGTGATTTAAATTTACTTGATGAAACCAAAGCTAGTTTTTTTATGGAATGCCGAACGTCACAAATTACGTCATCATGCGGATTAGAAACAGACTAGAAAGAGCAAAATATTTTCAACTGCATATTTGCTGTAAGTTTGTAAGATTTTCAACTTCTTTTTATACCAGATATATGTAATAACTTTATTTGGGAATATTTGTTGACAGCTTAATAATAACAGATTCAAGTAAATCTAACATTATCTATGGTATATGTTGAAACTGAAAGATGGGCCTGGTACAGGTTCTCTGCTTATCTTACATTATTATTGAAAAGGCCTAGTGAACTAGGGTAGGCCTAATGTTTTGATTTGTTTTTAGATAATGTTGCACCTGGATGTGGTATATAAACTGCAGCAAGCAAATAACACACATAGTGGCGAATCCAAGGGGGGGGGGGGGGTAGCGGAATTGTAGATTGTATGTTTTATCGAGTATCGTTATAATGATAAATGTCTTATGGAACGGGTCACTCAGGGCTTGTCCCGAGACACAGTTAATTATTCTAAGGGTTGCAACCCTCCCTTTGGCTTTGCAAAAAAAAAAAATAATAAGAAAGTTCAAAATTTTTGTTTGTGTTTTTACCAGAGAAAATAATGAGTGAAAAGCTAAAGTTGTAATGTATAAAGAAATTTGGTCGTCAATGCAAAATGCCCCCTCCCCCTTTTTACAAATACAAATACAAATATTTTTTTGGCATAAACACAATTACCTTAATTGGAAACGTAGTACTGAGATATATTTTCCTTTCTTTTTCAAAAACTGTTCTGGTAATCCATACAAATACTAGTACTTTTTCGCAGGTTTATGAACCTCCTACTTAAAAAAAACCATGCTCCACCCGGTATCATATTGAGTTATTTAACTACATGTACGTGTAAAATATTTTTTTTTCCTCTTCAAACCCCGTGGTAACCGGTTTGTTCGCCCGATCTACCTGTTCCCAGGAGTCCGTTCGCACAGAGTCCGTTCACCCGAAATATTTTTCGCCCGATATCTACATTATATT